TAGATTCTCCAACGATGCGAGACCATGTCCCCGCAAGCTTCTCCGCACCAGCAGACTTGAGTTGCCGAATGAGCTTATAAAAGATCTTGAGATGTTCCTTGATCGACGTTCCTTCCATCATCTTTAGTCTTGCCAGCTTCAGTCGAACAAAAGTTTTCGAGGATACTAAATTCTTTGCGTAGACGTTCTCCAACACGGTCCAGATTTCCTTGCCAGAATTCTTGGCGCGGATCAAGTCCAAAAGGAAATTATTACATTCGATGCCTTGCTGTCAATTTTCTGGAACTGTTCCAGTTCAGCTTCAGCCGTTGGTGCGTTCTTGGTCATCGCATCTAGTAGCTCGACAGACTTCAAGTACTTCTCCACGCGGAACTTCCATTTTTCAAATACAGTTCCGGAAAACGGAATTATTCCATGGACAGTTACCTTCCGTGAGTCGCCCATAACTTCTTAAATAAACAGCAAGGGTTTGGAAACGGGAGCGTATGCTAGAAGGGACTGATCTAAAAATGTTAACAATTTGTTGCTTGAAATCAGTAGCTAACAACTAATAAAGTCTTCGCCAGAGCAAAGTCTGAGATCAAATTGAAATCTAAATTTGATGTTTTGATTTCGCTGATAATGATTACTCAGGTTGCTGACGTTTGGGTCGTTTTAACGGTTAAAATATCCAAATTGAGAGCAAACATATCTTCCTGTGACATCACATTGAAAACTATGTCTGCTATCAGTGAGAGTAAACTGAAAACTTAATATGATATCCATTTTTCCTGTTGATAACAAAACAAGTATTCAATTTTATGTTATGCTAAGGCAATGAAAACAAACTCGCAACAACATATTTTTGAAGAGCAAATGTACAGCAAAATGAAAACAAAATTAGGTATCAAATTTGTCAAATGCATAAACTGAAATCAAATTATGATTTCAGTTTGATGTTGATATCAAAACTTGATTTCAATTTGCTGTCATTTTGATGCTGGACTTTGCTCGGGCGGTAGCTTCGATTTCGATTACATCAATAACCTTATTCATTTTAACTGACGCGTAAAATCTTCTCTCGTTTAATTATGAGCTAAAGTTGGCATAAATAATGAAATTGCTTACAATGTGCGCTGTATATCGTAGACATTAACATGATTTTTTTTTCCATTTTTGAATGGCCCCTTAAGCCCTCTGTACTTAGTTGAAATTCCCGTAATTTACCAGATATTCATTGAGCTGTTTTGAAGTTCTCAGAACAGCCCTGAAGTTCTCGAAACTTAATTCACTTAAGGTCTTGAAACTCAATTCAACTTTTGGCATCTTCTTTAAAGTCCCTGCTATTTTTCTGAATTGAATCTGTTCCATTCTTGAAATTCTCTTGAAATCTATGGAAGTACTCTGAATGGATCAGAACATAATATTACGGATCTAAAAACTTCCCCGTAGCTCTGGACGATCCCGAAAATATCAGAACTAACTTGAAGATTTCAGAATGTTATGCAATACAATAGTAATAGAATAGAATAGAATAGAATAGAATCAGTAAAATTAAGATGCAAATTACAAAGCGATTGATGTGTTCTTTGCTGCTCTACTTAAGCTCCAGCCGTGCCAATAAACTCCGATTTGGTGAGGTGGGTTGAGTTCAACCTTAGCATGCAATTTCTCGGATTTGCAATCATACACGAAAATTTCACAAAGAACAACAAAAGTTTATTGCACTCAAACACTACTGATTAGACTTAAATTTATTTTACTCTTAATCTAATAACGACACAAACAAATTAAAAAATGCGATCTTTTCATACCGACGCGCGCGGTCGAAACTAACGATTTTAAATTTGCTCACTACTTGACTAGCCTATTTGTCCCAAGCAAACGATTAACGTACCCCATTCTAGTCGAAATTCTAGTACTATACTATTTTTGTTTTGATTCGCTATGAAAGTTTGACAGACAAAATTAGGTGTTCGTGGATTTTCCTTTGCTTCGAAGAGTGCATCGATTAGCTTGGGACCGAAGAGAGTACCAGAGCTGATCCAAAAATTAGAGCACGTTTCTTCGGGACCTTCTGGTCTTAGAGTTACCTCTATGGTCGAACGGTGGATGATACCCGTCGTGTAGTCTTGCATGCACTGACTTTATTGACGGGAAAGTAGCCAGCATCATTGGCTCGCCCATGGAGTGCGTGTATGGGTAGCCGAAGATGACGACCGGTGGTAGTGGTCAACGGTGAGTGACCGGTGGCCTGGTACAGGTGACTGTTTTCTCCTGATAACACCAAGATAGCGTTGCCGAACACAACTTCCATAAAATTTACATGAAACTCTGAGAACCTCTCAAAGGTTTCAGATGTTAATGGAACTATACAAAAAAATCCGATTTTTTTATGGAAATTCTTAGAACTTCACTAAAGATCTCGTAATTTTCCATACTTACATGATACTCCCAACTTTTTTAAAATTTTCTGGGCATTGTTCTGGATTTATCTGTAAAGATCCTGCACTTTTTTTTGAAGTTAATCCAACGGCCCTGAACTGTTTAAAATTTTCCAGAAATTTTAGGAATTTACCTATTGTTCGAAATATCATGAAACTACGCTGATGTTCTTAGAACTTTCCCAACGCTATCCTTTTTCAATGATGTTCAAACTAACCGTAAGATTTCCCGAAGTTCTATCGAAATTCCGGAAAGTTTTTTGAAGTTAATTGATCTGGTCTCTGATATTCATGAAGTTCGCGAAATTTTCGTCAAGTCTATGGAACTTACCCCTAAATATATTTAAACTCCCCCAAAGTTCTGAACTTTCCTGTCGTCCTTGATACTGTTTTGAAGTTTTTGAAACTTCTCTGAATATTTTGAATATTCTTTAAAGTTTTTATTACATTCTAAATCGACATTTATGCTCCCGATTTGTATTGATAAAAAAAAAACATATCGGTTTTGGGAGCTGTTGAAAATTAATCGATCAATCAGATAATTCCAAGCAGAGCTCCAATGGAATATCGTTAAAAGTTCCAAAAGAACTTAACTCTGAATATAATTTAAAAAAATATATCATTGTAAAATTTCGAGCTAGTTTGAAGATAGTTCCAATGAATTTTTGGTGACGTCCCTAGAGGATATTTTTACCATTATTTCCAAAATAAATCGGAATGGTGTTCCAGGAGATTTTCGAGAAATTTCCAATTCTAAGGAGAGTTTCATGAGAATTCTTCCTGGAGGAATTCTGGCGAAAATGCACTGAAAGTTGCCTCAGAGAAAGTATGGTTGGTTGTTATAGAGAAGATAGGGATACGTCAGGATTGGAGGACTAAGGATGATCAACAATCTAGAGACACTAACACCACCTAGTGAGTCAATTCTGAACTAAATTGTTTACCATTTTCAAAAGATTAGTCCATAGAACAATTTGTGTTTAACTTTTGAGCTCAAGTTTCTCGACAATAATCAAAAATGTAACTGATCAATAAATAGATCACTGAGCGTTTATGGGTTAAAAGAACGGTTTGAACTTAATTAATTGATAATTTGATAAATTGACCACTAATCAATTGATTAATTTATCAATTACTTGAATAATTGATTCAAATACACTGCTTTCTCGATTTTGTCAGCTCCCGATTTTGTCTACCCCCGATTTTGTCTATCCCGGATTTTGTCAGCTTTTAAGCATGAATTCTCAAGCATTCCGCTCCAAATGACGCTTAATTGTTTTGTCGCAACAATAACAGGGGTAACTCAAATAAACCTCAATTATTGCAATACTGCACAGCTGTATCGAGTCCCTCCCGATAAAGGTATAACTAGGTGACGGATAGAGCTGGGATGGCTGCAATACAAGTTATGGGCAGATACCCCATTCATGAAGAAGGTTTCGTGATCGCCAAAATTAACGGAATATTCCTATGCAGTTGCTACGCACCCGACGGACAATGGAGCAGTTCCACTAGACTTACCGAAGAACTGGTCGGACGAAGGCCGGTAGTCATCGGAGGAGACAATTCTGCTGGAAGCTCTGGCGAAGTTGGAAATTAGGCTGTTCAATAAGGGATCGTCCATTAATTATGTCATATTTGAAGGGGGGAGGGGTTTGTGAACTGTGACGAGCCATGTAAAAAAAAATAAGGTACATACAAATAATGTGACAAAGAGGAGAGGGGGGTTGAAAATGAGCCAAACTTACGTGACATAATTAATGGACCTTCCCTAAAGGCACCACCAGTACTTTGGCCGGGAATCCATTATAGACGTCACTTTATGCGAACTACAGTCCGTCGCTGAATTGGAGAATGTGTGAAGGATATACCCATAGTGACCATCAGGCAATCCGATATGGCATCGGTCTACGGAACCCTGTGCAAGGACAAAGGACGAGAACTTGCGACCTGAAGTGGAAGACAAGTTGACAGAATCGTTAGGGAGAGCATGTGACACGACCATGCCGAGAAAACTGAAGCTAAATAACAGACGGCCTCCAGCTAACTGCTGCAGCGAAGCAATTAGCACCCTCCGCGCTAGTTGTCTCAGAGCCAGAAGACGTGCTCAGAGAGCAAGAACAGAAGCAGACAGAAAGGAACGTAGAGGAATGTTCCGAGCACATAAACGAGAGATAAAGCAGAGCAAGTCAAACTGTCAACAGGAGCTGGGTCGAGACAAAGATCAGATGTCAAGTCATGCCCGCTGAAATTGGCTTAGAGAACCTGAAAGTCATCGTGGAAGGACTTTTTTCAAAGCACGATCCATCGACCTGGCCACCTGCATCGTACGGAGACGGAGGGGGAGATAATGACGAAGTCGCCAACGAGGAACTCGTAGCAGTGCCTGCTGGATACACTCGGAAAGCTCTTGGAGAGTATCATCCTAAACAGGCTGACGAAATGCACGGAGAGTGAGCAAGGATTGTCGGAGAAGCAGTTCGGATTTCGAAAAGGAAGAGTGAATGTGGATGCAATTCGGACAGTTGTCGAGCGAGCCGAGAAGGCGTCGAAACAGAAGTGGAGAGGGGATTGATATTACGCCGTGATAACGATCGACGTCAAGAATTTGTTCAACAACTTCAGCTGGGAGTCCGACGCTACTTCCAGAACCAGGTTCTGATCTACGAGAAAAAATATGGGAGAGAGATCAATCGTAGGTTTTGCTCTCATCCATGGGTGACGCCAAAATTACTTAAGAATCGAAGATCCGTAAAGCAAGGCCAAATTTGCCGGAACATTTTTTCCACATCAGCAACAACCATGGTCTGTCTAGTTCGTCCACCGATGCTAATCGCTCGCAAATCCTCCTGAATCACCGGTCCTGCGTAGAGGACATCATTCAATGATGTTCCGGTCGATGTTTTACAGGACGCATCGAATACGACTCGCACCTTGGTTGTCGTAGACGATTCCTTCACCAAATGATGGTTGATATCGATGCCTGTAATTTCCTGAACCTCCTTCATATGTTCTAATTGTTGATACTCCTGCATGAAAGCCACGTACTGGTGACGTAAGTTGCTATCCTTCGCTAACCTGCGTTTCGTGCTGTAGAAGCGCCGCAGAGCTATATCCCTCGATTCACCCATATGCTTCAGCATAACTTCCTTTCTAGGGAGAGTGACTATATATCTACCATCATCTGCTCTCTGAACTGTGCGTTGATATTGTTCCTCACAAAATGCTTCATCGGGTGACGAATTGCCTTGTTCTCCGACTTCTTCGCATTCCCAGAAACGATTAAGAAGATCCTCAAGTCGATTCAAGACTGACAGATTGCAGTTGACCTGAGTTATCGCCTTAGGTAATGCCAAGGTACCACATAGGGGTACTGGGGGTAAGACGGACAGTGGGGGTAAGACGGACAGTTGCTTGTTTGCATGTTAATCTTTTGATTTTTTGAAAAATTATCACACCCACCCTTCATTCACAACATTGAATGCCTTTCGAGACACCCTGCTATGTGCAGGAACTGTCAAATGTAAAAATATAAACAAAAACAAATCTAGCTTGCTCGCGCAACGCAGCGATGTTAATTTCGGTGTTGAATTTTTAAGGTTTTTCTGCTTATAAACAGTCAAATACATAAAAAACGTGTTGTCATTCTGTTCCTGGTTCAATTCCGGTTGTTTTGTTGGATGAAGTAAGTAGGTAAATTTTGTTATCTGGAGTGCGTGCACTGGCACTTTCATAAATAACTTACCAGTGGGGTGATTCGGACAGTCTCTCCCGGGGCAAGACGAACAGTGCTGATATCTTATAATACGCAGTTTATATTACAGTGGTTTAATTTTTTTTATAGATGCCGCGTGTATACAAGCGTAAAACAAGCCGGAAGTCCTGGACAGAAGCGCAATTAGCTACAGCTAGGCATGCCATCGATTGTGGCATGTCCGTGTATGGAGCTTCTGCGAAGTATCAGATTCCACGAAGTACTCTCATCCGGCGGATCGCCTCACCAGATGTGCCCAAGAAGATGGGACCGAAATCTACTGTTTTCACGCTTGAGCAAGAACAGGAACTTGTTCGGCACCTGCATGATCTGGAATCGCGGTTCTACGGAATTAATATGACGGACGTGCAGAAGCTCGCGTATGAGTTGGCGGAAAAGAATGGGATACCCCATTCGTTCAACAGAAAGAAGCAGCTAGCGGGACGAGACTGGCTTCACGGATTTTTAAAGCGGAATCCAACTCTATCCTTCCGCAAACCGGAAGCGACATCTACAGCACGTGCCAGAGGGTTCAATAAACCCTCTGTGAATGCTTTTTTTGATATGCTGGAAGCAACATTGACCGACAAAGGGTTCCCGCCTTCGCGTATATACAACGCAGATGAAACCGGGATCAGTACCGTAAGCTCTTTTACAATTTTCTTATAATTGAAACTTACACTTACTGTAATATTTTAGGTCCCTCCCAAGAAACAGAAAATAGCAGCAAAAAAGGGGAAGAAGCAGGTGGGTTCCATCACGTCGGCAGATAGAGGAGACACGACATCAGTAGTTATGTGCATGTCTGCGGCTGGTCATCACCTGCCACCCTACGTTATATTTGCTAGGGCACGGATGCACGAATCGTTAAAAAAGGGAGCGCCAAGTGGAACCAAGTTCTCTTGTAACCCTTCTGGATACATGACCGCAGATATCTTCCTGGATTGGTTTGAGCACTTCCTGGAAAATGTGCACCCAACTGTGAGCAATCCCGTTCTTTTGATCATAGACGGTCATAGTTCGCATACGAAGAACTTGGCGTTCGCAGAAAGAGCTCGAGCGAATTTTGTAACAGTGTTGGTTTTACCACCACACTGCAGCAATAAAATGCAGCCACTCGACATCTCTTTCATGGGGCCGTTTAAAATCCACTACGCGAGTGCAGCAGAAGCCTTCATGCGGAAATATCCGGGACGTAACATCGGTCAATATGACGTAGCCGAATTGATGGGCACTGCGTTTGTAAAAGCCGCCACTACAAGCGTGGCCATCAACGGTTTCAAAAAGTCCGGAATATGGCCGGCAGATCGAACAGTATTTCCAGACGAAGCCTTCGCGCCATCCGAAGTGACCGACCAGCCTGAAGCAACTGATTCAACGGATGTGCAACATTGTGGTACGCCTATGCAAAACTCGGCTATCGTCGTGTTGAACGACTCGGCCGAAGAACAACCATATACAGTTGGTACTTCTTCAGGTAATCCCGAAAACAGAAATAACGCCCTGAGTCAAGTTTCTGAAACTCCTCCGAAATCTTCGTTCGAGGTGTCACCGTCGCAGATTCGTCCGCTACCAAAAATGGCAGTACCGAGAGCATCAAAGAGAAAACGCAAATCAGAAAAAGCGGTAGAAATCACTTCTGGACATTATCGCCAAGGTCTAGCAACAGCTGAGGCTTTGAAGGAAATTAAATCAATCAAAAAGGGCCAGAAACAATCGTCTACTAAACGTCAAAAAGTGGACAGCCATCCTGAAGATGTTCTATGCGAACTATGTGGATTTTGTTTTTCTGGATCAGTTGAAGGGCAAGGCTGGAACAAATGCCTGAAGTGCTTGAAGTGGTTCCATGCTCAATGCTACAGTAAGGTTGATACTATTTGTCCCTCCTGCACCTAAACAAGTTCATAAGGTTCCTTTTTAGTATGTTATTGTTATATTTACATGACATGTACATACAATGTGAAAATTAATCCATTATACCTGTACCTAAGCATTTAATTTTATCGCTATTTTTAGAGCACTACCGTTCTGTAATGTCATAAGAATAATTACTGTAAGGAGAGCAATAAACACCATCATCGTAAAAACCATCTTTCTTTAAATGTGTCACATTCAGAGAATGCATTGCATAATTTTTAAAATAGAGAAAAATTAAATTTACAAGACTGTCCATTTTACCCCCGCCACCTGTCCATTTTACCCCCACTACCTGTCCATTTTACCCCCACTACCTGTCCATTTTACCCCCGCCACCTGTCCATTTTACCCCCACCACCTGTCCATTTTACCCCCACCACCTGTCCGTTTTACCCACACCTAACTCAAATTATGAATTATTACACTATTTTTAATTTCAAAATTAATCATTAAATTTCGTAACTTCAAATAAATTAAGGCATGTAGTTTCTCAAAGCATACGTTTAACCTACAGAATACTGAGATTGCAGGCAAAATATTGCATTCAGCGTAGATAAAACTGAGCAAATCCTTAGGGTGTCCGTCTTACCCCCAGTACCCCTACATCTCAGCCAAACACCGAATCGATCAACATGGGCATGTTATCTCCGAGTGATATTTTGTGTTCCATGACGAACAAACTGAAGAATAGCTCGATACCTAGAACCATATCCACTCCAGTTGATTTAAAAAATTCTGGATCCGCAAGGTTAATGCCTTAGGGAATCGACCATCCTTATGCGTCCACCTTTGTAGTAGGAAGGTTTACCGTTACCCTTGGTAAAACCAAGAAATTCACTGACCGAGCAAATTGCGAAATCCTTGATCGAACCTTGATCTGAATTTGATGCTTCACCAGTGTTGATGTTTGTCCGATTCCTTGTACCTTGATGTCAACCTTAGTCCGAACCACCTTTAAAAGTTGACTGAACCTTTCCGAAATGAAGTTACATTCGGAACCTGAATCTGGGAGGGTACGTATTGGATATTTGTTGCCCTGGATGGATGGATGGTAGACTAAAGAGATATTGGATTTGCCTCTTCCTGAGTTGTTTGCTATCGTCATAGCGCTTCATGATTATGTTCCAAGCAACGTGATAATTGGCTCCGGTTATTGGAAGTGGATCGATAAGTCCCTTTCGTTCACCTTGCAAGCATCCCTTCAAATAATGCATCTTTTCTACATCCGGTAAATCCGTCCGAGAGTGGATGAGCGATTTAAATAAATCACGAAAACCAAGCCATTCTTCAATGTCTGAATGACTGAAGTTTGATTTGAGGTAATCTAACGTGATCTGACGCAGTTTGCACGGAAACATTATGGATTGAAGTTTCCCCTGCAGATGGTTGTTGTAGAAGCTCTATATTTTCTAACAAAAAGGCCTTCATATCGTAGTATTGATTACTGAACTGCTGTCTCTCCTTAGCGTATTTGTCCTCATCTGCAACATACTCTTCATGGGATTTGATTTCTACCAAAGCTTCACAAAAAATTTCCCAAAGCTCATCTAACTTGATCACCCTAACCTGAATCTGACTTGCGCTAGTATTATCTTTGAAGTTGTTGACAAAATGACGAATATCTCCGAACATCGATTGCATTTTCTTGAGTTTCAGTTGCACAGCTCGTAGGGTTGGTGTCTTTTTATTTCCAGGACCAAGCATGATAATTGATTCTCGCAGTCAAAGTATTCACCAATAAAGAAAGGTTCAGGTGTAGTACCAAAAAGAATGTCTAGCTACGGCTGGACATATACTAAGTAAGACTGACCTGACAGAACAGTCACTCCGACCCAAATCAGAATGATAGATCCAAATTAATCGATATCAACAGAGGTAAGCTGATCAGCTGTTCCAACAATTTCATTTTTTTTTTTTTTATTATAGTCACTTTAACACTCTTGGGTCATTCGTGACTTGTCCGGGGTTGTTGAACTCGTGACTTTGGCGTGAGAGGTATGGATGTTAACCACTACGCCGGGGTCACTCCCCAACAATTTCATTCATTTAAGGTCAGGGTTGCAGTTCCAATCACTCGCATAGTATTGGTCAAAGAGAATAAAAGCGCAATGTAGTATCCAAATAGACCTAGCTTCTGCAGGCCATATACTTTAGCACTAACCTTAACAGAGCTACGTAGTAGTGTTGGGCTATTCGCAACGTTATGTGAACCAATGTACGATGTGTATGTAGAATTCCGAAGACACCAAACCGATCGGGCAAACAGTTTTCGAGTAAAATTTTTTTGAAGATAAGCTTGATATTTTTCTATATGCAATTTTCAAATACAAGGCTGGATTCAACATGGCGATATGAAGATGCAAAACGGCATTGTCGGTCATAAGGAACGTTTCTGCAAATTATCAACCAAATTAAAAAAAATCAAAAATAAACCTATTTGCTCTACTTGGTTTTTGAATTGCAGAAAAAGTCGGTAAAAATTCAAATGACCGTTATCCGTAACGAATCAATGAAATCGACCAATTTTATTTTCTATCAATAAATGGGGTTAACATATCTAAGCCTGAACAAGTTTGGAATAAATTTTCTAATGTTTGAATTTACATAGATTTTTAAACTTTTACCGAATAGTTCCGCAATTCAAAAACCCAGTAAAACCTTACCTACCGGTTCAACAAACCGGGTTGACGTTTGGTGTACCCTTTGTTGTAAGAATAGTAAACATTTTTCAATAATGTCATTAATTGTGGATAAATAGTGATTAAACTTGATTTCAAAATCATTTGGATGGTTAAAATATTGAAAAAGAAAATTTCCCGATTTTGTCAGCTTCCCGTTTTTTTAAGCCTAAAATTTTAGATAGGGCTGACAAAAACGGGAAAGTACTGTATATATATATATTGTGTTCTTGAAAATAAACACCTATGCTAAACATTAAAGGTAAGTCAGAAATTTAAATCAATTATTGCAAAATTCTAATTTTAAGTCGATCCCAAATCGGTTAGAACTCGGTTAGTACTCGATTAACCAATAATCGATTAATAGCTAAAAACGACATCCCTAACAGCGGCATCGATTCGATAGACTGAAAGGACGTGTGTAAGGACGAAAGCTTCTTTTTGGTGTATCATTTCGATTTTCATGAGCGTCGTACATGCGGAGATGTATGTGTGTGTATCTTTCTATTTTCCGTAGTGCGTGTATAGTTGTGCAAATAAGTGTACCCTGCCTAACTGGCACAACAAGAAGCACATACGAGTCGGTTTTGTTTGAGAGATCAGGAAAAACAAACATCCTTCAATTGTCCAATCTTCTGCTACAGTGCTACTGCCGGGCTTGTTGGTAGGGATTGTTGGAACACAACAAGAGCTTTATTTCGCTCTCTATTTCAAGAGGGCAATACGTTTTCACCATAAATAGTCCGATGTAAATCGGAACGATCCCTACTGCATAGTAATTGAAGCAAAATCGAAAACATTATAGCCCTATTGAGACATTGGGAAAAAGGTAAATTGGGGTTCCGGAATAAATTAGGAAAATCGGACTTATGTGGATGAGACACCATTCCCCCGAGTGAGATTTTCATAAGTTGCGGTGAAAGTTTCTCATTCTCCTTTTCCCGTAACGGTACGGTAGACTCATAGAAAACACATTCAATCAAAAGTCCCCCAACAGTAACACTCATGTATCAAACACTAATGACACTGAAATCCAAAATCACATTGCTTGCCAAAAGTCTACCTAACGAGGTCAACTCGATTCTACAGCAATCGACACGTGCTCCCTGCTCCATCCCTTATATTGATACCGCACACCTCCATTTCAATAGGAAATCGAACAATTCGTAAAACAGATTTGTAGCCGCTCGTCGTTCCGACCTTCCCACCGTCGTCCAACGGTGATGATGCTAACCAGGATCGAAAATTCCAAATCGGAAGTTATAACTGCATACATATCCAGAACAACATGTGAAAAGGGCATACAAGCTTTTTGTAAACAAACCTTCTTATGCCCTTTTCTCGCCACCCATATGACACCAACGCAAACCTTTAACATCACCGGGTAGGGGACACTTTCCCCTTCCCGATGATATTGCTGGTTTGCGTGGGCGACCCTCGGTTGGTGAGAAAAGGGCCTACAAAGGTTTGTTTACAAAAAGCTTGTATGCCCTTTTCACATGTTGTTCTGGATATGTGATCGACCTTTGCCTGGCAAGCGGCAACTCCCACCCATCGTATAAGGCAGGCAGGTAGGTAGGTAGGTGGGTAGGTGGGTACCCAAAAGTGCTGGTGAATCGAAGCGATAAAACTTTAATGCCAGGGTCATAAAATCAAAGTGGACGACGACGGGGCTACTAGGGGTGTACTTTTCCGTGAGTGTTTTGCAGAAAGTTCCAAAGTTCGGGGAACGGGCATCATCAGCTTTCGAATAACAGTTACTATTTATTGTTGGAATGCACATCGAATTTCCGTTCGGTAGCCATGGTTCAGTTGGTTCATGGCTCGAAATAGCGGGTACAATTTGTGTTCCTGTGTAGAACGAAG